ATCGACTTCCATAAAGATTTGCCGCCCCGGAAACCCAACGGGGGTCGCTATGAGTGAGAATCCACTCGACGGCAGTGAGATTTTTTTTTTTTTTTTGAGGAGGGAGGGAGGAGTCGGGTGGGTTGGGAGAGACGGATTGAGTGCGGGAGGGGGCGGAAGAGGTGGCATTGAAATGCTGGGGGTAGGAACGAGTGGGCGGGGCCGAGACCGGAGGAGCCAGTCAAGGGACATGGTGGGCCTTCCACTGTGGCGGGGACGGGGAGAGCTGGAGGGGCTGGTGGGAGGCAGAGCGGGAGAGAGAAGGAACTGCTAAGTGGGGCTGAGAAGAAGCTGAGTTAGCGAGCTGAGCGGAATAGTGCAATTGTAAGGTGGGACCCGGACTGCAGGCTGCTGGGGGTGGAACGCGAGAAGGAGGAGCCAGTGGGCGGAGCAAGTTGGGCGGTGGCGGGACCGCTGGACCGCTGATCCCTGTGTTAAGCTGTATCGTATTACACAGAGGGCTTCAGAGGCTGGGAAGTGGAGCACGGTGGAAATGGCTGGGCCGTGGAAAAGAACGTAATTCTGGTGCCAGGGGCCCCTTCCCAGACCTGCTTCGTGACTTCTTTCGAGTGAGTAGCCCTGGTCCCTGGGTAAAGGACCCCTGAGAAAGGAGGGGACTCTTAGCCCACCGTCCTTACCCTCACCCTAATACATCTTCTCTTTCTCCTTCCCTCATTCATTCATTCAACAAGTATTTGTTGAGGGCCTGCCAGGTACCGGGCACTGTTTTATATGCCAGAGATAGAGGGAGAAATCAGAAATCAGGAACATGCTTTTTCAATTTACATTTTAGATAAAAGGTTGGGGGCGACATTAAGCACATAAACCACAAAGTAACAATAACAACAAACATTGATAGGGCTTACTCTGTCAGACGTTGTTCTGAACACTTTACAAACAACGCTTAATTCTTAACAGCCCTGTTGGGTACTATTATAGATCTTCATTTTATAAGAGGAAACTGAGGCACAGAGTACCAGCTGGTAAACGGGGGTGCTGGGATTTGAACCCAGGTCATGTAGCTCCAGAATTTCTGATTATGATATGTGAGAGGAAGACACCAGAACAAGTTGGTTGGCTCATTCTCCCTTATCCTCATATCCCATAACCCACACTCCGTGCCCTGCGTCGTGGGGAGCCACGGTAACATGCTATCATCCAGCTTCTGGTCGCTGCCGGCCTAGCAGGGACAAAGTGATACTGCACTGTTGTCTTCGCTTGTATTATTTACTAATTGAGCATCTCTGTGTGTTCACGTTAGCTTTTTGGGTTCCCTCTTTTGTAAACTGCCTGTTCATATTTTCTATTGGGGTTAATGTCTTTTTCTTACTGATGGGAATTCCTTGCCCGTTCTGGACATTGAAGACACAGTCTCCCACTGTGATGTCTCTATTAGGTGTGTCCATGGTGGTCCTTGTTGGCCACAAATCTTATTTGAGCGTAATCAAATTCACATTTTTTGCTTTAGATTTTATGTTTTTGAGATTTTGTTTAGAAAGTCTTTCCCCATGGCTAGATTATAACTGTTCTGTTACTAGTGTCCTCATGGTTTTATCTAATTCACCTTTGAGTGTGTTGTTAGGACAGAGCTCATTTTTTTTTTCTCTTCCATATATTGAGGCAGTTTTTCCACCACTGAGTAAAGCATCCCTCCGTTCCCCATTGGTCAGTGGTGTGGACTCTAGTTCATCAAGTTCTCACGCAGACCTAGGTCTGTGCCTGAGGACTTTCTCCTGTTGTCAGCTGTCCTGTGTGTCCCTCCACCATCATAACAGTTTCTATTATTTTGGCACATTCAAATTAGAAGGAAGGAACCGTTTACAAAGGTGTAGGCAGAGCTCAAGGGACAGACACTGCAGGACCCCAAGCTAGTTAGCCTTGAAGGGCAGGGATGTCACCACTCCTAGGCCTGAAAAGGAGTTCTGGTAGAGTAGTGCCTAAGGCACTTGACTGCTAACCAGAAGGCTGGCTGTTTGAACCCACCAGCCACTCCTCGGAAGGAAGGTTGGGCAATCTACTTCCATTGTGATACTACCTCAGAAACCCAAAGAGGGACCGCTATGAGTCGGGGTCCCACTTGACAGCACATAACAACAACAGGCCTGAAAGGCTAAGAAGAGGAAGCTGTTACTGTATCATTAAGATGGGGAGGGCTGTGAGAAGACAGTGCCTGAAGGAGCTGTATCCTTTGAAGGACGTAGCAGGCCCCTGGTGATCTGGTGGGAAGGAGGCAGGGAGGGAGGGAGGAAGAAAAATACCAATTGTATCCTCTTCCCTCCCTTCCATCTCCTGCTGGAGCTGTCTACTGGCCGATCCAACAGGAAGCAGAGGGTAAGGCAGACCAGTCTGTAGCCCGTACAACTTCAGAGCCTGGGCCCCACACGTAGCAAACCAGAATCCAAACCAGTTGCCATCAGGTTCGTTCCAGCTCACACATGGGACCTCCATGTGTGCTGTGAGTGGGTTTGAACCGCCAACCTTTCAGTCAGTCGTGGACACTTCACTGTCACTCAGGGACTCCTTTGCACTTCAGAAGTCCCAGGCTTCCCTGCTCGTACTTCTAATATGTGGGTTTCCATTTGTACTTGTGTCCAGGCCCCCACTGAGAGGACGGGGGTTTGCATATAGCTCAGCCTCCTGGAGCCCAGAGCAGGGTAGAGACAAACCGGAGAGGTCACCTTGAGTCGTGAATCTTCATGTCTTGTAGAGCAAACCCTGAGGGGCTGCTTTGACAGGGTGGTTGGGGAAACTCCTGGGAGGAGGTGATTTCCGGGCTGTGACTTGAGTCAGGAGAGAGTCAGCACATGAAGGTCTGAGGGAACCGTGGGCCTGCCGACCGCACCCCCCCCACCCTCCCTTCCCAGATGGTGCTTCAAGAGGCAGCTGGTGGACCTGGTGATGGAGGGCGTGTGGCAGGAGCTGCTCGACAGTGCTCAGCTCGAGATCTGTGTGGCCGACTGGTGAGTGAAGAGTGGCAGCTGTGCCCAGAGCACCAGCTGTGGCGGCAGTTCTACAGAAGGGACTCAACTTGAGCCTCCACCAACCCCACGGGGTAGCTGCTAGGGTGCCCCATGCGCCCTCCTTAGTGAGGCTGAGAGGAGAGGGACCGGGGGTGACATGGGGGCCCTGACTCACTTGGCTTGGTCTGAAAGAGTGCCCCTCCCCCCTTTGTCCCTCAGCTCAGTGCTGATCCTAAGGGCTTGTGGGTGCCCCAGGCCTCAGAAGCCTTGGGAGCGTTGTGCCCTGAGCACTGAGGTTCAGAGGGGTACAGCTGGGACAGAGCGCCAGCCAGCTTTGAGCCTGTAGGCTTTGACGAGCCCTCTCCTTTCTAGAGGGAACTCTGGTAGCATGGTGCCTAAGGCACTTGACTGCTGACCAGAAGGCTGGTGGTTCAAACCCACCAGCCACTCCTCGGAAGGAAGGCTGGGCAATGTACTTCCTTGTGATAAATGCCTGGGAAACCCAAGGAGGGGTCGCTGTGAGTCGGGGCCAACTCGACGGCATGTAACAACAACAACAGCTCCTTTCCAGAACTCCCAGCTTTTCCACAGGCTTTGTCCTCCATGGAAGGTCCAGTCTCTTTCTGGGGCACAGTGGGGAGATCACCAGGCTGCTCCCAGAGCTGTGTCCACGCCCAGAGCATCCCCCACCCCTCGGACTCCTCCACAAAGAACCCTGGCCCCTCCTTGGCCTCTGGCTCCTGTCCCCGAGGTTCCCCAGCCAGAATCTCTCCGACTGTGGGGCAGCTGTGTGGGACCCTCACTGAGGCGCAGGAAGGCCCAGTCCTCAGCCCCCTCCCCACCCCCAGAGCTGGTGGCTGGTGGGGGCATCGAGGCTCACTGCCACCTGGCAGGTGGGGCGCCCGGGAGAACTGTGGCTGCATCTACCGGCTCCGAGTCCGCCTCCTGGATGTGTATGAAAACGAAGTGGTCAAGTTCTCAGCCTCACCCAACCCAGTCCTTCAGTGGACTGAGAGGGGCTGCCGACAGGTGGGTCCAGGCTTCCTTCCTGATCACCCCTAACTCACTCAAAAGGCACACGTTCCCCCCTAAGTCTCCCTCAGATAATTTTCTATTCTCAGCTCTCATCACCACTGGCTATAGTATAATGTTGTTATGTGCTGTCAACTCATAGCGACCCCTCTTTGGGTTTCCGAGGCAGTATTGCTACGGAAGTAGATTGCCCAGCCTCCTTCTGAGGAATGGTTGGTAGGTTTGGGTTTGACCTGGCAGCCTTCTGGTTTGCAGTCAAGTGCCTTAGGCACTACGCCACCAGTTAACAATCACTGGGAGTCCCTGGGTGGTGCACACAGTGAAGTGCTTGACTGTTAGCCACAGCCCACCCAGAGGCACTCAGAGGAAGGCCTCGTGGCCTGCTCCTCACAGGTCCCAGCCTCAAAAGCCCCGTGGAGCAGACGACTCCACACGGGGCCGTCATTGAGCCCTCACTGCGTCCCAGCCACTTCAAGAGCTTCCCATCTTGATCATTTCCTTAGCACAACAGGGTGGTTCAACATTTATAGAGCACCTACTGTGTACTAGGCCCTGCTCTTGGTGCTGGGAGGCAGCAGTGGATCAGAGTCCGTGCTTTATCCTCACTCTAGAGTTGAGGAAACTGAAGTACGGAGGTTAAGTGACTGCTCTGAAGGCACACTAAGGCCGGTTCCCATCATCACCATCCCACCTCAGCTATCAGAGTGCCTCTTAGGTGGTCCTCCTGCCTGTGCCCCCGCCCAGGACTCGCACAGCCCACACGGTCCTGCCCAGTGAGCTGTTCCCTCCCTGACTCCATCGCCTTGCCCCTTCCCCTCGGCCACTCGGCTCCATCCACCTGTCCCAGCCCAGGGGCTTGACACCGCCTCTTCCCACTGCCCCCAACTCTTCTCCTGGGTCCCCACATGGTTTCCCCTCCTGTGGTCTCTGCTCAAAGGTCACCTCAATGGGGCCTCCTCTTACTTAACAGCCCTCATGCCCTCAGAATGCTCCCTGCCCCTCATCCCCACCCACCTTGTTCAGAGTTGGGGTCCCCCACTAGAATGTCAGCCCTATCAGGGCAGGGGGTATCTGCTCATCTTTTCTCTGCTATCTCCCCAGAACCCAGAGCAGGGACACTTGTCCTTGATGAATAGCTGTTGGGCTGCGGAAGGCGGACACCCACAAGCCCTCACCTTCTCGCTCTCCGCCCCCCCACAGGTCTCCCACGTCTTTACCAACTTTGGCAAGGGTATCCGCTACGTGTCCTTCGAGCAGTACGGGAGGGACACCCGTTCCTGGGTGGGCCACTATGGCGCCCTCGTGACCCACTCCAGCGTCAGGGTCCGCATCCGTGTGTCCTAGTAACCAGCCTGCCAGGACCTTTCAGGACATACTGTGGCTGCATGACGCTATTGTCAAATCAGGGACTTTGTGGCCAGGAGCCAAAGGTGCCCTGGGATGGTGGGGGTCCCACCTGGCCTGTTCTGGTCATGCTCTCCGTGATGCCCCCCACGCTGCTGCTTCGGCAGGGTGGCCCACACACTGTGACAAACCAGGGACCCCACCAGGCTGTGCACAGCTTCCTCAGCTCCCCAGGTAGTAGGCATCAAAGAGCAGCTGGGACATTGCTAGTTCATTTGCCTGCAGACTGCCTTTTCACACGTGAGGGATCAGTTGGTAGATGGAATCAAGACACAATGGGGGAAGCCTGCTGACAGCCTGGAAGCAGGGCCCCTTGTCTGTGTGTTTCTGGGCATACTGATTGCTGGCAGGGAGCAGGGGGCAGTAGGGAAGTTCTGGCGCTCAGCTGTGGGGCAGGTAACCAGCTGCATCTATGCAGTGTCCACTGATGCTGCCCCACCCACACCTCCTTTTGGGCCAGGCAGGCGTTTTCTCTCATGACCCCCTCAGAGGCGAGGCCCCTGTACTTCTCCACTGCCCCTAAACTCTGTCCCCCACCCTGCCTGGCCAGTCTCTTCTGCCTGGACTCTGGGTGCAGGGGCACAGAAAACATCTCAATAAAGCTGGTGCTAAGGTGAAGTGATGGGCAATCTGTCTGGAATCGATGCACGTGACTGCCCCCAGCTCAGAGCCTACGAAGCCTTGCAGGAGTTTCCAACGGGGAACTGGGGAAGTGTGTGCTAGGGGCTGTGCAGGAAATGAGACCACTCAAGAGAACCCTGAGCTGGCTGTGATGTCATCTACAGGCTCTCAAGTCCTTCCTCAGCCCTCCGACTGTTCTCGGGTGGGTATTATCAATGCCGTTTCCAGGAGGAGTCTGAATAACCTGCTCAGAGTCACAGGCCACTAAGGGGAGCTGAGGCATGAGCTAGAGTTGGGTTCCAGAGCCAAGGGTATGATCATGGGGCCAAATAGGTGCTTCTCCCACTTAATCTTCGCAAGAACCCCCTAAGGTCAGAATCACAGTGAGTACCCTTTTCTGGGGAGAAAACAGACCCAGAAAATACAACAAAGGTCACGGAACAATTAAGAGGTGGAGGCAGGATTTGAACCCAGGTCGACCTAAGTCTGACAATAATACAGATAAAAGCTCCCACATGTGAAGCAATGCCCTCATTCAATCCCTTCAACATCAACCTAATTACTGCCTTTTGCAAGGTTGGGAAACCCCGGTCCCATATCTGCAGGAAGTATAACTGGGACCCAGTACCATGTACTTGATTCTAAAGCTTCAAACAGGGTTATTATCCTTGTGTATGAGTCCGGATCAACTCCATGGCAGTGGGTGTTCTGTGTTAATGCATATAAAACCATTTAATCCCCAAGAAACTGAACAAGAAGTACAGCGAGTGGGGCCGTTTTCAGGGGAGGAAACCAAGGCCCAGGGAGGCCTCAGTCCCCAAGCTACACAAGGACAGCACAGCTCCAGGGCACCACTGACCACCGTGGCCCATCTGGGTTTATTACAAGTCCTTCCCAGCAGATGGCAGTACAGGGTTCAGTCCCGGCAGAAAAGGAACTCGGCGACCGCTACGCAAGGACGCCAAAGGTCTTGACAGGGTACCTTTTTTCTCAACTCAGGACCTCTGCGGGCTAACAGTGGTTCTGACAAGAAAAGCGGAGCCAGGATTCGAATCTAGGGCTGGCTGCCGGAACAGTGTCCCAAGGACCCTGCTGGAGCCTGGGGAGGAGGAAGGTTTCGTTCTGCAGGGAGGCTCAGCCCGGCAGGGTTCCAGGGGTCACTTCTTCTGCACGTGGCCACAGTCGTATTTGCCACGCACAACAGTGAGCTTGACGCCGGGCAGGTCCTGGGTGCGGCCGCCCTGCACGAGGACGATGTGGTGCTCCTGCAGGCTGTGGCCCTCGCCGGGGATGAAGCAGACAGCCTCGACGCCCGTGCTGAGCCGCACGCGGCAGCACTTCCGGTTGGCAGAGTTGGGCTTCTTGGGCTTGCGGGTGAACGTGCGCAAAACCACACCTTTAAGCTGCGGCCGGCCTTCGGTGGGGCCCAGACGCCGGGGCGGCCACTTCGGGGGGCCCAGACGGTGCATCTGATTCAGGGTGGCCATGGGGCGGGTGGCCCACAGCCGGGGAGCCAGAGCCAGGCCTGGGGAGATGGACCGGGGGCAGAGTGGAGTTATTATCCCAAAGAGTCGGTAATCTGCCATTCCAGGCACTATCCCGAGCCCTTTGTAAGGGTGCGTTTGTCAGAGTTTAGGGGTCTTGGACTTCCCCCAAATCAGCCACTGCAAACCTTACGGAGCAGTTGTTCTACTGTGACACACGGAGGTCACCATGAGGCAGAAAGTACCCCACAGCAACCAGAGTTTAGGGGTATGTAGGTAATACCAAAAAACCAAACCCACTGCCATGGAGCGCTCCCAACTCATACCAACCCCCACTGCATATCCACGGGGGTAAATCTTTACCCAAGTAGATCGCACAGTCTTTCTAAAGTGGAGCGGTTGGTGGTTTGAACTGTCAACCTTCAGGTTAGCAGTCAAATGCCTTAGGCACTATGCCAGCAGAGCTCCTTGAAGATAAATAATATGAATAAACAAACCAAACCAGTTGGCATCCAGTCCGTTCCGACTGACACTGCCCCTTGTGTCCGTGTAGGACTGTGCTCCCTAGGGTTTTCAATGGCTGGCATCTTTGTGAAGCACATTACCACTCCTTTCTTCCCAGGTGCCCCTGGGTGGCTGTGACCTGAACCGTTTGCGCCACCCAGGGACGTATAATAGAAAGACTAGCTAATATTTACTGAGCAACCACCATGTATCAGATTCTATTTTAACCACTGGGCATGAATTAACTAATACTCTACAAGAAGAATGTTAATTTTTAACACTACTTAAAAATAACACAAGGGATGTGATGCCCTCCTGCCAACTTCTCAAAAAGGAGGGAAAAAAGATACAAAATCAACTAAAAATACATGGTTAGTTAAACCACACAACACTCAAGAGGCCATGGGGTGGTACAGACAGTACCCTCCGCTACTGATCGAAACGTTGGTGATTCAAATCCACCCAGAGGCTCCCTGGAAGGTGTCCAAAAGATGACAGCTATTGACAACCCTGTGGAGCACAGTTCTAGTCTGAAATCATGGGGCAGCCAAGACTCAGAATCAACTCAATGGGAACTGGTCTTGGTTAGATGATGATAATCAAGAGTATAATGGCCACAGCCAGCTACCCGGAGGGAGCAGGTAGTCGGACCTGTGGGCTCAGGGCCATGGTCACAGGGGACATAGTTCAATTAACATAACATACTACATAAAAACATTGTTCCACATCTGACTTTGGTGAGTAGCAACTGGGGTCTTAAAAGCTTGCAAGTGGCCACCTAGATGCAACAATGGGGTTCTCTTCATCCAGAGCAAAGAAGAATGAAGAAAACCAAAGATACATGGAAACAGTCCAAGAGACTGGTATACCATGTGATCCTCAGCCTATACGACTAGTCATGAGACCAGAAGAACTAGATGGTGCCTGGCTACCACGGTCAACCACTTGGAGGGGGATCTATGGAGGAGATCCTGGATAGAGAGGGAGAACAATGTGGAACAAAACTCAAAAACCATTTGGAAAAAAAGAAAAAAGGGGGTGGGAGCAGGTTTGCTGGCCTGATAGAACCTGATGGAATCACTGACTATGGCCCCTAGCTGCCCTTCAGGTCTGGAATGGAACTCACACCTGTGGCTTCCAGCCAAACAAAAGACAGGTGTAGGAGTTGAACATTTACCTGAGGTAGATACACTCCTTGTAGAGAGCAATCATGGGAGAAAGAAAGGCTGACTATACACAGGGAGACAGCTCAAGGGGCAGGAGTGCATGGAGGGACGGACACAGGGAAGTGGTAACTATTGGGAGGAAGTGGGAGGGGAGCTGTTGCATTGTGGGAAATTGCAGTCAAAGTCATGAGACAAACTGTATGTGAGCTGCTGTATGGGAAGTGAATTTGCTCTGTAAACTTTCACCCAAATCACAATAAAAAAATAATTACCAAGAGTATAAGAGATCATCTATATAAATTTTGAAAAATAGTTGTGGCTAAGGCATTGGACTGCTAACCAGAAGGCTGGTGGTTCAAACCCACCAACCCTCCTAAGAAGGAAAGTTGAGCAATCTATTTCCACAGTGATACTGCCTCAGAAACCCAAGGAGGGGTCGCCATGAGTCACATTTGAATCCATGGCAGTGAGTTTGGTTTTTTTACTCAAACATAAAACATTATTTATCATCAAAATAAAAATTTATGAACCTCTGCCATCGAATCAATTCTGAGTCATAGCGACCCCCACTGGGTTTCCAAGGCTGTAAAGCTTTACACAAGTAGACTGCCTCATCTTTCTCCCATGGAGCAGCTGGTGGGTTTGAACCATGGACTTTCTGGTTAGCAGCTAATGTCTTACACACTATGCCACCAGAGCTGCTGCTTTTTGGAATAACTGAACTAAATAATAACAAGTGAATGTGGGTGCCCACACTGCGCTGAGTACTGTTCTACGCATTTTACTAACTCACGCATGTTTGTAGCAACCCTGTGGGGGGTTCCTGGAGGGATCACTGACTTCTCTCACCCACATCCAGCCCCCATTAGCAGATCCTATCAGTACAACCTTGAAATGTGATCAGTGCTGCCCCTTTCTCCCTCCTCCACTGTGCCCACCTTGGTTTCATCTCTCCTGCCCCCCTCCGGGACACCTGCATCCTCCTCTTCATTGTCTCCCAGCTCCTGTCCCATCCCCCAACGTGTCCCCAGAGGAGCCCTGTAAACACCTGAGTCAACCAAGCCCCTGTCCTGCTCACAGCCCTTCCATGGCTCTGTCTCACTCAGGGTAGGCCCCCCATGCTCTGCCCCAGCCACTGCCCTGACCTCATCTCTCCACTTGCCTCCTTGCTCACTCTGCTCTAACCTGTGTCCCCAAAGACACTCCGAGAAAGGAGACCAGTGTGACTGCAGTGTCATCAACGAAAAGATGAAAAGCAGGTGGCAGAGGGGGACAGATCTCCAGGGTGAGCTCATCAACTGGATAGAGGGTCTAAGAAGATGCAAAGATGCCTGGATTCTCTTTAACAATTATTGAGCACCTACTGGCTCCAGGAACAGAGGTACAGTGGTGACAAGTCCTGGGCCCTGCACTCCTGGCACTCAGAGCCCAGGACATCCATCCAATGATGCATCCCTATGCCTTCTCTAAGGGTGCTCTGGTGGCATAGTGGGTAAGGCATTTGGCTGTTAACCAGAAGGTTAGCAGTTCAAACCCATCAGCTGCTCCAAGGGAAGAAGATGAGACAATCTACTTAGGTAAAGATTTGCATCCTTGGAAACCCAACGAGGGTCACTATGAGGCAGAATCGACTTGGTAACAGTGGGTTTTATGCACCAATGCTCTTTGTTCACCCAACTGCACATTCTACCCAAGATCCAGAGCAGGTCTGGGCCCTTACTAATCACTCCTACAGATCTCCTGTCCAGAGTTACCACAGTGAATGGCGAACAGGTGTGTAATGAAAGTTTGCAGTGAGCGAGTGCATGAAATACCTCACAGGGCATGGCCCTTGAGAAGCATTTGATTTCTGTGAAAGGCATGAGCGTATAAAATGCCCTTCCCAGTGCCTGGTATACATGACACGCTTGGAAAACAGCAGTTGAATGGCACTGCGGGTACGGGCCTTTTACCCTCAGACAGAACCACATCTAAAACCCATGTCTCACCCACACAAAGTATTGAACAAATAAGTATTTTCTGAAGAAATAAGTGACTGGGTCAAACTCCTGGTTCTCGCCACATACAGAGTAAGCCCCTGATGGTACTTAACACCTCCCCACCCCTTGCCCTTGCAACCCGAGGCCCACCAAAACCCAGCCGACAATCCATTCCTAATTAAAAACCCGATTCCCTCGGGGCTGCGTGGTGCAGTTCCCTCATGCAGTCCAGAGCCCTGCACTCACCACAGCTCAGGGACGTGTTGAGACCACGGAGAAGGCCGGACCACGACATCCTACCGTCCCTGAAGCGTCCCTGTGTTAACGGAATGAGATGTTTAGAAAACGGAGCAAAAAGTGACCGTCATCGGGCCAAATTTCTCTCATCCTGTTCTCAGTCTCTAAAGGAAGTTAAATCTAAGGAAGTCCCTCTAAAGATCTAACCACAACCCTTCACGCTGCTAACAGAAATTTAGACTCGTTCAGTGTAGGCACCCAGGGACCCAACCGCTTCCACTTTCAGAAAAGAGGACAGGGAAGCCTGGGAAGAGACCCGGGAATTACGAAGGACCGGCAGATTACCTCGACCTCACCGACCCGTAACAGGACCCGCGGACACACTGAATCCGACCCCTAGCCACCTCCGGAGGTTATCCCGATAGGGGATTCCTGGTTCTACCGCTCACGTAAAGCAAAGGGGCTGAGCATAGACGGCCATTGGTCAAAGACACTCAATTTCGGTCAACTGTCCTCAGCTCGCCCCTTTGACGGTCTGATTGGCTCATCCGAGCAGGACAGCTGCTTTGCAATTGGTCTCAAGACGGAACGGGCGGGTCGAAAGGGGCGTAGCTGCTTGTCCCCCATCCAAGATGGCTGCGTCCATGGCACGGCGCTTATGGCCTTTGAGGGCTAGTCGGGGACTCTGGTCCTGGGGAGGCTGCACCTGCAACCAAAGCTCAAGGAGAAATTTCGCTACGGAGAAGCAGAACCGGAACCTCCTGTACGAGCACGCTCGCGAGGGCTACAGCGCGCTCCCTCAGTTGGACATGGAGCAGCTATGCGCATGCCCGGAGGAGGCCGCACGCGCCCTGGAGCTCCGCAAGGGGGAGCTGCGGCCTGCTGACCTGCACGCGATCGTGAGTGCGCTTGCGCTGGCTAACGAGGGCATTTTGCTTATTGGCTACTCGATTTACGGAAGAAATGGGCTTGCAAGATGCTCTCTGGCAGGGACTGGACTTATTTCATCAATTTTATAGCTCTTTCCCAAGTTTAAGAAATTTTTCTGCAGGACCAATTATCCGCTAGATCTAAGGCACTACTGCATGTCAAAGGAGCTCTGGTAGCATAGTGGCTAAGACACTTGACTGCTAACCAGAAGGCTGGCGGTTCAAACCCACCAGCCACTCCTCGGAAGGAAGATGGGGCAATCTACTTCCGTAGTGATACTGCCTCGGAAACCCAAGGAGGGGTCGCTATGAGTCGGGTCCGACTCCACGGCACATAACAACAACAACAACAACTGCATGTCAAAGATGCCCACTGTGTCTTGGACTCTCATGCACCCATTTCATAATGCATGCTGAGTACTTAACTGCACAAGGTATTTACTATGTATCCGTGCCCTCTGTGTTACATATCTGAGGCCAGACTTAGCCTAAGGCCGTAAACAGAAAGGAAAGTGAGGGAGTGAGTCGGAAGGTTCAGCGGACTCGCCTTAGGGCAATGAAAGGTAGCATCTTGCACCTGCTCCACAGATAGCAGGCAGTTAGATAAGCGTATTTAATGAATGTATGATTCCATTGACAGACATTTATGGAACACCGTGTTCCAGGTGTTGCGAATAAGTGGTGAAGAATAACAATGAAACAGCTAACACTAATATAATACTACTTGCTAGAGGACTAAACTCGGATTATCATATCTCAAAACCCTTCCGGGGTGCTGAGGAGGGAGGGGTCCCCAAGCCCTCCCAGCCCTCTCGTAGATTGCCCTACCACCCTGTTCTAAGTACTTTATACATATTTAGCTTAGTTTAATTTTTCAACAACCCTGTGTGGTAAGTGCCATCATTTCCTCCATTATATCAGAGAGGAAACTTAAGGTTCAGAGAAGTTAATTAACTTGCCTAAGATCACACAAAAGAGCTCTGGTGGTGCATTGGGTAAGGCATTTGGCTGCTACCCAGAAGGTCAGTGGTTCAAGCCTACCAGCTGCTCTGTGAGAGGAAGATGAGGCAATCTACTTCTGTAAAGATTTACAGCCTTGGGAACCCAACGGGGGTTGCTATCAGTCGGATCGACTCTATGGCAGTGGGTTTAGCTTTTTTAAGGTCACACAGCTGGTAAGCGGCAGAGCAGAAATTTGAACTCATGCTGTCTGGCTACACAGTATACACTCTGAACTGATGTGTTAGCCAAGTTCGCCTAGTGAGAGAGACAGACGTATAATGTACAATATGAATATATAATTATAACTTCCTGTTAAGTGCTCTGAAGGAAAAATAGGGACTATCTAGGAGGGCTTTTGAGAGGGGGAGGGATTAGGCAAAAGTGTGTGGAACAAGTGAGGGTTAGCCAGCGGAAAAGAGGGGAAGAATGTACCAGGTGGAGGGACCAATATGTACAAATGCATAGAGGAAGGACAGTATGTTGCGTTTGGTGGATCTGCAGAGTGATGCAAATGGTTAAGGAGCTTGTTGGTGGTGTGAATTCACCCAGAGATGCCTTGGAAGAAAGGCCTGGCAATCTACTTCCAAAATATCAGCCCTTGAAAACCCTGTGGAGCACAGTTCTGCTCAGGTAGTGATGTATATAATTTAGAGTGTCACACCTTTTACAGGGTTTCTCAAGCTTTGTGACCAACAATTAGAAATATTTTTCACATCCTGATCCAGTACACGCACAGCCAAACTTGAAACAAAGGTTTCATTAACTATTCTTGATCTTACCATGTGCAATGATGCATTCTTATTTTTTTTTTAATTGTATTCTATTTGATGGGAGCTCTGGTAGCATAGTGGCTAAGGCACTTGACTGCTAACCAGAAGGCTGGCGGTTCAAACCCACCAGCCACTCCTCAGAAAGAAGATGGGGCAATCTACTTCCGTAGTGACACTGCCTCGGAAACCCAAGGAGGGGTCGCTATGAGTCGGGTCCGACTCGACGGCACAACAACAACAACATTCTATTTTATTTTTTCAAATGCTGGTGTAAAGAACCCAAATTTATTTTACAACCCACTAATTGATCTGAAGTCTTGAGAAACCACATCTTTAGAGCAGAAAGTGTGACGAGCAGTATGGCACATGGCTTTGCAAGTCATACTCAAGCATGTGGTTTGTTCCTGGGGGCACTGGGGAGTTGGGGATGCTTTCAAGCAGCGGAGACATGTGAAAGAACTCTCTGTCTGGGTTGGAGGGGGTGGGAGGCTGGGACTGGAATCCTGGTGGGAGATGGCCAGGCTTGTGGTGGGGCAGGAGCAGGGAGATGGTGGGGAGGGAGACAGAAAGGCCAGGACATGATGACAGGGGAGGGAGACATCCAGGACTTCAGGAGGACGCCCAGGACTCTGGGCTAGAGCTTAGGAGTCCAGTGGGGCTGCTCCTGAGGTGGAGGAAGAACAGAGTTAGGTGAGTGCACAGTGTCCGGGGAACACCTGGTGGAGCCCTCAGGTGGGCAGCAAACCACTTCGTGGCCCCTCGCCTCTTCTGGCTTCCAGCCCCACCACAACCCAGGGAGGTAGGACAGCATTGTTTGCACCATTCTGCCAAAGAGAAAAACTAAAGCCAGAGAGAACAAAGGGATTTTCCAAGGAGTCTGGGCTCACAGGTAGGGAATTCCTAACAGTAGGTATCCCCCAAGAAATGAGAGCTCAGGGGTGGAGGGTCTCTCCTGGCTTCTTATCCCACCGTGTTGTTGAGTGCAGGCCGAGCTGCCATCGCAGCCCCTAGGAGAGGAGGCTGTTTTGCTCTTACATCATTGTTGAGAGGTCAGAGGCCAGCAGGGGGACTCTGCTCCATGTGTCCATCAGGAGCCCAGGTTCTTTCCATCTTCTCGCTCTGTGCCCCTTAGGGTGTAGTCCTCTTCAGCTCCCCTCAGGGTCCGTCTACCAGTCCAAGGGAAGTGGGAAGGAGAGTGTCTAGGTTGGGCACCCGTCTTTAAGAAGATGACCCCGAAGTCCATACCACAAGGAGTTCTGACACCAACTACACAGAGTTGGGCCATACACCACAGTGAGGGCACAGCCCTCCACCAGACTGCCTTCACTTCAGAGCTCAGCTGTGAGTTCAAGGTCCTCAGGCCACCTGCACGTCTCACCAAATAGCTATAAATTTGGGTTTTTCCACAATTTCCTCAGGTTTGACCATTTGCTGGAAGGACTCCCAGAACTCAGGAGTGCTCTACAGTTTTATTACAGCAAACGGCTACAGATGAGAATGGCCAGACAGAGAGACACCTCACCCCCCCACCCCCACCCCCGGCAGCCTGATGTGTGACAGTACGCAGAATACTGCCAACCAAGGAAGCTCACCTGAGCTTTGCTGTGCAGTTCTCATTGGAGTTTGGTTGTCTGGCCAAGATTGAAGCATTGGCCCTGTCATTGGGCTCCAGCTCCAACTCCCATCCCCCAGAAGATAGGCTGACAATGGCTCAAAGCCCTAGCCCTCTAACCATATGGTTGGCCTTTCTGGCATGGCCAGCCCCCTATCCCGCATCCTGAGTTACCTCTTTAGCATAAACAATTGTGTGCCCCCCTGCGCCCCCAGTCAGCTTAGCAGCAGAAACAATCTGGTGTGTTCTGAGGAACCTGCCATAAATAACAAAGACAAATCACTAGAGAAATTCCAAGGTCACCTCCCAGGAATGAGGACAAAGAGCAGCCAAATTATTACACACATCCTTTCCACTTCCACTCGGGTCCCTTGGCTGGTATTGGTCACATGGGCGCAGGCGGCCATAAGAGAGAAGGGAAAGTGCATCTTAATTCCAGGCTGCCGTGTGCCCACCTAACCATCAGGGGTTCTGGCGCTGAGGGAAGAGGGGAAGGGCTGCTGAGGACAGCGTGGGGTCCCTGCCCCACCCCACCGCAAGCCCAGCTGGCCAGCGAGAAGGGGCCGTGAGTGCTCCACCACCACCCCTCCATCTCCGTCCCCAGATATCGACCTGGCAGGAGCTGAGGCAGCTGCGGGAGCAGATCCGGGGCCTGGAGGAGGAGAAAAGAGCTGTGACGGAGGCGGTGCGGGCCCTGCTGGTGAGTGGGGGGTCCTGGCTGGGGAGGGGTCGCAGCGAGGTCACCTCCCGCCACGAGGAACAGCGAGAGCCACGTGGGCGTCGGCTGGTGGTCCTGGGGATGGTTGTCAGAGGCACCCCTAGCCCAGCTTCCTGATCTGGCCTCCGTGTCCTCTCTTACGGTTCTAAGAAGGCTGCCACGGCACCACTTTGCCTCCCACAGCTCTGCCAGTGGCAGGAAAAGGGCTTCTGTGCCATGAAAAGGCTTGCGTGCCTTTTCCAGGAGCAGGGAGACCTTGCCTGAGGCGTCCAGCAGGGAAGCAGCACGCACCCACTTGCTCCCCTACCCATCACCAGCAAGAGGAGTGGGATTTCTGGTTAGGCTGACCAAGGGCGGGGGGCTGGGCCACCGGCTGCCTCGGGGAGAGAACAGAGTCAGGGTTCTGTTGGAGAGGAGGAAAGAGGGTAAGCGATGTTGGGTTAGACATCCACAGGCACGTGCCCCAGAGGGCTTCGAAACCGTCGCAAAGACCATGGCAGACACTCTGCAGACTCACTGTGTGCCAGGCATGGTTCTAGGTGCTTTATGGACTCCTTCATTCTTCACCACAACTCTGAGATCTCGTTTGACAGCTGAGCAAACTGAGGCCCCCAGAGGTTCAAACTTGCCTAAGTCACGCAGCCGGAAAGTGGTGGGGTGAGTTTGCTCTGAGGCATTCAGGCTGCTGTTAGTCACCGCACCGGACGGCCTCTCCCGCCACTCGTCACACCTCCAGACTCCATGCATCACAGGTGGGCAGTAAGTGAAAACCACCTTAATGGCAGTTCACATCTAACGAGCACCAGCTGGTCCTCTCTGAGAAGCCACACAGCAGCCCTGCTGGGAGGTCCTATTGTCACCCCCGTTTTGCAGATGGTAAGACCAAGGCCCAGAGAGGGAGGAGATGTGCCCAAGGGCACACAGCTGATACAACCCAACATTTGGACCCAGGGCTGCCTGCTCCCCTCAGCTGCCCAGAATTGTAGAAGATTCCACACTTCAAAGGCCCTGGTTGCAGGCCTCCAGATACAAGCTCACGGACGTTCCTCGTCTTCAAAATGGGGATCACGTTGGTTCCAGCTTCAGAGAGTGGGTTGTGAGGAGACAAGATCATGTGACCCGCGCAGGGCCTTGCACGGAGGCAGCCCTTCACAGACGGGAGATGGGACCCGTGGGTGTAATGTCAGTCTTGTCACCTTGCCTCCTCCCCGTTCCATAAACAGGGAAGCTGAGTCACAGAGTGGAAGAGGGACCCAGCCAGCCTTCCACAGCCAGTCACTGGCAGAGCCGGGGATTCAGATTCCCTGACCTTGTTTGACCTGTCACCCCACTTCCTTTCTTCTCCCCCTTCCACTTCATCAGCCTCATCACCACCTCTGTCTCTTTTCTCTCAGGACAACCAAGACAAGAATCAAATCCAGCAGGTACTAGAGGGAGTTGATGTCCTGTCCCTGGAGGAGGGGGGTGGCAGGGAGCATGCTTTCAGTTGTGATTCCTCAGTTTTGACAGAAACGTAACTCAGACAGGTTTAAAGAAAAAAAGAGACTATTAATTCATGAAACTAAAATCTAGCTTCAGGTACAGCTGGATCCAGGTACAGTTGGCCCCAGCTTCAGGTGCAGCTGGATCCAGGACCTGTCTCCCTGTCTTGGTTCTATTTTTCTCTCATTCCCAGACTAGCTTTGTCATGTTAGGGGTCTGGGTGGGCCACACAGCTTGAGGTAGGGAGATGAGGAACAAAGATGACCACTTCCCTGATGGCTCCAGTCAGAGTCCTGGGGCTGATTCGCATTACTTTGCCTTGGATCATGGGCTTTTGTCTCGAGCCAGTCACTGTGGCCAGGCAATGGAGTGCTCCGGTTGGCCAGGCCTGAGTCATGACCCTGATGGGCCATGTGGTAGTGAGGAAATGCAGGGTTCTGGGCCAAGAGAAGAGGCAATGAATGTGCACCACAGAGGTTCTACCTGCAGGGATCGAGGTCAAACTGAGAGATCAGCCCACCCTCTCCTGGGCTGACCCTGCTTGCCCCATCTCCAGGACGCTCGGTATCAGAGTCTACGGGCACGTGGCCGGGAGATTCGGAAGCGGCTTGTCCCCTTATACCCCAAGGAGGCCCAGCTCGAGGAACAGTTCTACCTGCGGGCGCTGAGGCTACCCAACCAGACCCACCCTGATGTGGTGAGTGCAATGCTGTGTGGCAGGGAGGCCCAGGGCCCACCTGGTGCCACTGTCCCTGTGACACCCGCTGTCTCCCTGCAGCCTGTTGGAGATGAGAGCCAGGCCCGAGTGCTCCATATCGTTGGAGACAAGCCAGGTAGGCCACACCCCAGGGCCTGGGAGCTGCCCAGCCAGTGACCCGAGGCTGGCAGGGGTAGGGAGGCTGCTGGGGTCTGCAGCTCCAGCTGGGCCCTGCGGAAGCCTTGGTGCGGTGGAAGCGGACCCTGTCTTCCTGTCCCTGAGGGGCATTTCTTGAGTTTTGTTCTCTTTCTTGCTCTGTCTTCCCCTCATTTGGTTTGCTTGCCCTGTCTCCCTTCCAGGGGGTAAGTGTATGTGTGTGTACATGTGTGTATGTGTGTGTATATGGATGTATGTGGGTCGGTGTGTGTGTTTATGTATGTATGTGGGTAGGTGTGTATATGTGTGTATATGGATGTATGCGGGTAGGTGTGTGTGTTTATGTGTATATGGATGTATATGGGTTGGTGTGTATAATGTGTGTATATGGATGTATGTGGATAGGTGTGTGTGTGTATATGGATGTGTGCAGGTAGGTGTGTGTGTATGGATGTGTGTGTGGGGGTGTATGTATATAGAGATGGGGGTGTATGTGTGTATATATATGGATTAATGTGTGTAGGGGTATGTGTGGGTGTGGGTGTATGTATATACGGGTGTGTGTGTCATAGTGTATATGGATGTGTGTGTATGTGTATATGTATGGATTTATGTGTGTAGGTGTGTGTGTATGGATGTATGTAGGTGTATGTGTGTATGGATGTATGTGTATGGATGTGTGTGAGTAGGGGTATGTATGTATGTGTCTAGGTGTGTGTGTGTTTGTATGGATATATGTGGGTAGGTGTATTGTGGGTGTGTGTGGGTGTGTGTGGATGGATGGATGTTTCGGGGGGGGGGTGTTTGTGTGTGACATCCTGTTTCGAATCCTGTCTCCCTTGGGCTCTTCCTCCCTGGCTGTGGGGGTCTCCTGGCCAATGATTCTCTCTTGTCCTCTTGAGGTTTCCTCTCTCCCGTCCCACTCCTGGCGCTGCCTTCCTGCCTTTCTTCCCACCACTCATCTGCTCCTTCCTTCTTTCTCATCCCATCTCTTTGTCTCTGTTTCTCACTCCTTTCTTTTTCTCTCCCTTTCTCTCTTCCCTCCTTTCCTCTGTCTTCTAGTCCTCTTTCTGTTTCTGTTCCCTGTTTTACTCACTGATTTTTTTAATAATACTTTGTTTTCAGTGAAGATTACACAGCAAATTAGGTTCCCATTTAACACCTGTTGCTTTTACCCACATCCAGCTTTCTCCTTCCAACCCCGGGGTCACCTGGAAATCGGCGAAAAGCTGGACATCATCCGTCAGAAGTGAGCCCCTCCTGTCCCGCCCCTCGGCCCAGCCACCTCCAGCCCAGCAGCTGGCACCCAGCTCCCGCCTCAGGCTCAGCACTGGGTGTGGACCCGCCAGAACTGCACCCTGGCATGAATGTTTGATGCCTGGCCCTGCCTGGCAGCTGGGCCTCTACCCCTGGGTGTTGGGTCCTCCTCCCCCCACCAGCCCTAGCCCACATGCACCTGCCTATCTGCCTGTCTTCCAGGCGCCTGTCCCACGTGTCCGGCCACCGCTCTTATTACCTGCGTGGGGCTGGGGCCCTTCTGCAGCATGGTCTGGTTAACTTCACACTCACCAAACTCGTCCACCGGGTATGGACCAGGATGGGAAGGCTGTGGGGGGCGTGGCCTTGGCACAGAGCTTGGAGGGAGGATGGGTGACCTCTGCCCCAGGAACTCTGTGTGTGTTATTGGCACATTGGATTCTTAAGACAGCTTGACAAGGCGGGTACTATTCTTTTTTTTTTTCAGTTTTTTTTTTTTTTAATTGTGATTTGGGTGAAAGTTTACAGAGCAAGTTTACT